AACCGGCCCTTAAATTTTCGTTTTTAATAATTTTCATGAACCATTCTATTAAGGGTTTATTATTTGGAAAATTATCGAACATCCGATATCTGTAAATTTTGACTTCTGTGCCTTTTGCAAAAAAGGTCCACGTGGTTGTTATTGTAAATTCTATACATTAATGTGATTTTTTTTATGTTTTTATAAATGTTTAACTCTAGGCTAGGTCGGCGGCCGTTGTGGTGTAGTAGTAAGAAGTGCACGCGTGTAGTGCTAAACTGAGAGTTTATGAGTAGTGTTCAATGATAAACTCCCATGAACCAATTAGAACAGATCTGACCGGTTGAGAAGCAGCCATTTGTAATAGCAATTGAGAAAAAAGCGTGTGACGTTCGTAATTTTGAAGCTTGCTATTTCTGTTTTCTTTATGTGTATTTTGTTGGTGGTTTATTTCAGTGATTTTTAAGCGATTTTCAATAATTTTTTTGTGCAAATGTAATTAAAATGAAGTGTTCGGTGATTGGTGGCAAAAACACGTGCAAAATAATAATTTGGTTAGCACAAACATGTGCTGCAAAATTGCTTGCATTTTCTCTTTATGCTTCGTCTTCATATTCTTTGTTAATTTTTCAAAGAAAATAACATGGCGCCGAAACTACAAACGTCAGCCAGTAAATTACTTTTTTATTTTGCTTCATCTTGTCAGATCTTGTGTAGTTGGATCATGATAAACTCCCATAAAATCGATTTTATGCCTCAATGAGAACGTAATATTATGGACGAACTATCGATGTTTCGCAAACATCGATGCATCTTTTACTTGCCTAACTGCATGTAATGGCAATATATTCGCAATTTGCTTGATTTGTTACATTTCTAATGTTTAGTTGAAAGTATAAAGGTAAAATATTAAAAGATGTTGAAGCAGCATGTTCTGGTGGAGTTAAAGCAATTCGTTCAGGCAGTAACGAGTCATCGGGGCAATCAAAAGAAGCTCACAAACACCTCATTGCTGCGCAGCAGTTTTCATCTGCTCGAGGACTTGCCGGCAGCTCGCGAAATTATATTCGAGTATTTCTCGCTAGTAGCAGAAGTGGCCGTGCAAAATTATGTAGCCAATGCGAATGTGGACTACGCCACTGGATTGCCAATAAGGCAAGGCAAACAAGGTGGTGGTGGATCCAGCTCAACAAGCAATGTTCCCACTCAGCCGACGGTCATTGAGGATAGTAGCTGGTCAGCAGTGCAAGAGGCCTTGGAAAATTTGGTTGTCAAAGGTCCTTCAGCTTGGGGTCCAGTAATTGCTTCGTGGAGTCTCGATTTGGTGGGGAAATTATCAGACAAATATACGAAGAGGAAAATGTCCATTGTAGCGGCTTGCAATTATTGGCTGAACTGCGGCGCAATGCGTGGTCTACTTACATTAATTAGTTTAAGTTTTCGTAAACTTAGCAATACCGAAAAAGAGTCATGCGTAGAGACTCTCCTAGGTTTGTTTATTAAAATGTTCCGAATGCTGTAGATTTCTTATAATACAACTATTTTTAATTTCAGCCGCCTTTCAGCGCTACTCACTTAGTTTTGACTGGGTAGTAGCGCGCCTTGGTGGCTGCTTTCCCCTAAGCATTATATCGCAAATATTGCAGTGTAGCCTAAAACGGTTCGCTGAAGATTATCGTTGCCGCTTTGATTCTGAGTTGGGCATCTTGGACTATTTATCCTTTGCCCACGAGCAAGAGTTAAAGCAAGCTTTGACGGATCTCCTAAAAGATGGCTTTAATCCAAAGAAAACTTTGGATGCATGTATAATACCATTTCTATTGGTTATGGCAACTTTTGCGGATGCTTTGTTGCAGAACCTAGTTGTTGTATTTCTCGAAATGTGTATGTATTTTGAAGAAAATTGTTTTTATTAAATTTAAACACCCACTGCTACTTTAGATAACGATGATCTACGCCAAACTATCATACAAAAGTCACCCCTTTGGATGAGCAACAAGATGTTTGCGGAAATGCAGCCTTCACTTAATAGTTTGGCTTTGCGTTTGAAGTCGAATGGTGCACAAGTGCTCATTGCTGTATCACAAATGGCTGAACAATTTGCTTGGTGCCAAGATTTTCTAGAATACACAATGCAGGACTTAGAGCAAGTTGTTCTAAATGCTACGGTGTGCCCGCTAATGAATGATTTGGCTACCGAAGAGTCGAAATATTTACTCTGGAAGAGTTGCTTAAACGCTAACATTTTTCAACAGCAAACGGCAGTGCGATTACTATTGATTGTTTGTAAGTTATTTTCATATTTTATTACCTTCTGTGAACATCATTTCAGCTGCTTCGCTTTCAGCCACACAACATTCACACATTTACTACCAGACAATCTCGGAGCTATTACGAAAATCCTATTTGGCCAATCCTAATGGCTTGGGTGCGATAATTCGTATTATCGGTGGACAAAGTGGCGTGGTGGAATTTCCAAGCATTAAACCCGGACTGCAAATGGTGCTGGAAGCTGTGTTGCTCCAGGAACAATTTAAACACACACGTTTGGCAAATGAAAATCAATCAGAAGCACTGAACACATTCAAAAACCTCAATATGCTAACCAAGTGAGTATTTATTTTTTCGGGTTCTAAATTAAAATGTAGAACATTGTGTGTTGCATGCTTCCCAGAATGCAAAAAAGGCATACATTCCAGTATATGAAGCAGAGCTTGCTGCCTAATGTGCTCAACGATTGTCTACCAAAAATTTTACAAATTCTAGAGGTTACTGTAACTAAAGTCATCCTACGTATGAATAAATTAGAAGAAGAGGTAGGACAAAATAGCAATAAACAAAATAACGAGTTTAATAGTGAAAGAAAAAAGAAAAAAACCATTGGTGCGGATGTCGGCGCGGAATCAATGGATGTAGACAATGCCGAAAATGATACGAAAGTTATAATCGGAATACCACTTTTCGATACCGACGATGGCGAAGAAGAAGAAACGGATACAAAGCGGCGCATTTTAGCGCATACCATCATCGATTTGCTCAATACAATTGAAGCTGGATTAAAAGGCGCAGTTATGCGTACCACAGAGGTAGAAATATACGCCTTTCCGGTGATATTACCTAGTACTAATTAAGCCTTTTCCGTACAGGTGTTGAAACTGTCAATATTAAGCGTTAGATATTTCTTTTTGGCACTCACTGAGAAAAGTAAATATCCTGTTTCTATCTAGTTTATAAAATTATTTAAAATAATTAATTTGCCATTTTTGTGTGTACATTTCAAAGGCCATATATCCCGCTCGGCAGCAGTGAACCGAGCCTACTTGTTGCTAGCCCGGCAATGTTCTGCACGGAAAGCTGCACGCAGCGCTTGCATACGCGAGTTGGTTGAAGGAGCACTCTTCTATTATGGCTACCTATTTGGTCAATACGAAGAGCCAGAGGCGAACCAACTTGATATACCCGAACATGAAATGGTATTGCTTCAAAATCAACGTCACAGCTTAGGTCCAAATGCCAATCGTACAGTTTTGCATGCCGGAGTTATTGGTCGAGGATTGCGCTCTGATTGCATAGCAAAAGATCAGAAAGGTTGCCCAGCTGAAACACAAACGCTGCTACTCAAAGCGCTGGATGCTTGTTGCACAGTAGCGGACAAACAAAATTCCGTTGAAGGTTATTCGATGATATCACTAATGCTTGTCGAAATGGTCTCAACGGATGTTATGTACAATGGCCTGCCGTTCCCCGATGAAGAATTCACGAAAGTGACAATGGAGCGCGATTTAATGATAAGACGCGCCTTTAGCACATCCCCTGTGCTATGGGCATTGCTGGGCTTCATAGCAGCACATCGGCCGGCGCTATGCTTCTCGTCGGTACTCTTGCGTGCAATGTGCGCCACTTGCTTGCACCAATGGCGCGCCAAAAATGGTAATGCAGCAAATGTGTTTTAGATTTCTACTAACTACTAATGTTTATTGCAGTTAACAAATTCCAGCCATTCGATCCCAATGACGAACTAATGCATTGCACTAAGAAACTGTTGCAATTGTTGGCGATGGGACAGTTGCTACCGCCACCGCTTTCCAATTTGCATGTAATAATTAAACACTTTGAACCACCAGAGGTGACGATAGGCTTTTGAAGCAATTATTTGCGTTGTTTACTTGAGGTTTCCTTATTCACAGATTGCTTTGCTGCTAAAAGAGTGTGTTTGGAACTACCTTAAAGATCACGTTCCCTCACCAGCGCTGTTTCATGTTGATAACAATGATTTGCATTGGCGCAACCCGCATATGTCGAGGACTCCTCCACAATATGTGGACACGTTACGCAATTTAATGCAGAAAAAACTAACTAAACTTGGACAGCATTATTACCAAATGTTCATTATGCCCGAACTGAATGATTCGGATACTACTCAAGCCAACTTAGCGGAATCAGCAATGAGTAAAGGAGAGGTAGAAATTATTAAGGCGTGATTGAATATTCTGCTTGAATTCAAAATACAACTTTAAAAGTAATTTTATCGGGATAATCCCAAATAAAGCGAAAAACTTCACCTTTCATTTACAACAATTTATTTATTTATATTTTTCAAGTGTTAAAAATGTGGAAAAAAAATTATTTTTCCTGTCTAGGCATTTGGTTTACACCATTCACATAATCCATAATAAATAAGATTTTTAAGTTTTCAGTTAAAACAAAAACGAAGACAGTGTATTTAATTTTTGTATTGTCGGTAGGAAATGTATGCATTTAACGTTTATTTACATGCATTTTATGTGTGTAAATTTAAATTGTCATTTATATGTATGTATTCTCAAAAATGGATTTTTTCTTGTATAATTTATAAGTTTCAAAAATGTTTTACAATGTGTGAGATTGAATTTGCGATTGCACATGTTATTGGCGTACAAAACAACTTACGTCAGATTGATAAGTGGAGTTTTGGCATTTGGTACTTATTCTATGCATGTTTGCATTTCCAAATATTATACGCACTTGTTATATTTTTGACGATAAACAAAATTTTGATTGGTTCACTTAATTTGCACATCTTTTACTGTTTTACATGCGAGACAGTAAAAGAAAAATAACAAAAGGAGGTAAGGAGTATATTTCAAATAAGATATTAAATAAAATTTATGTACTAACTAAAAATTATGCAACAAAAATTCAAACGCGAATAATACAGTAAAATCAAAAACTCTTTTTTTTTAGTAATAGATACCAGCGAAACAACGCAAATTAATAAAGTACTCCAAATTAAAGATAAGTAGTATTCTATAAATTATGTTGGAGTGTGGCTTGCATTTGGCAGCGAGAGAACTAGCTAATACTTATTCCCCTCACCTCGGCAAGCTGCACTAATAAGGCTAACTGACTTGACATTCAACCGCGAATGAATTGTTTAGAGTTGAAACTTCTCAATTTTCATATGCAATAATTAAACTACGTAACTCCAATGACTACGTGTACTGCGCATGGGCGCCTACTCTTGTGACAATCACCTCCACTCATTAAGATGGTCGGCAATTTGAGAGCTTTTTTACAGATATACAAGATGTCAGTTTTTTGGCGCGCCTTTTCAATGACGAGGACTTTTTTTCCTTATTGATGCTGTTCGATATTGACGCAGCTGCACTTGTTGAAGCACCCGTTGAATTTGCAGCCGCCAACTGTTTTTGTTGCTGTTGTGCTTTGATTTCAGCGGCTGCTGCAGCTGCTTGGCGAGCAAGCTCACCTAGAAGATTAAAACATAAATGTGCATAAATTTGTTTCAATACCTATAGGCATAGTGCGTACTCACGATTCAGATCATGTTCAGTAAAATAGACCTCTTCTAAATCACGTTCGGTTTCATAGTGGTAAGCATCTAAATAAGGCAGTACCGTGGAGCGGCGATATATATCATGTTTAAGTGGCGGAATGGGTATCGGTGGACCCTTTTCTTCTGGTGCCGATATGAACCAACTATATGAATGTACATATAAAAAAAAAATGTGGTGCAACTGTGGACAAATCTTGTATACTTACGGATCGCAGCGTATTTGTTGTATAGTGTATCGTTTAGCTGGGTCAGCCTGCAGCATACCCAATATAAGTCCGGCTAACTGTGCGTTTAATTTGAACAACCAATCTGGCGCCTGCCACTGCCCGCGTCCAATATTCTCAAAGAGCCTATAAATGTTATCGCCTTCGAAAGGATATTGACCTGTACATATGTTATAGCTAGCCGAGATTAAAGAAGAAAAACTTACTTTCTGACCCATAATAAAAATGTAAAGCACTTACAGCGTAATACCACAGCTCCAAATGTCTACCTTGGTGCCGGAGAAGGACTCGTGTCCATTGGCAATTTCTGGCGGTTGAAAAGCAGGCGATCCCTGACCGGTCGTGCATGTATCGTCCATCGCAAATAGGTCTAACTGCTCAGCAACGCCAAAATCAGAAATTTTCAGTATTTGTTCAAGGGAGAGCAGCAGATTTCCAGGCTTTATATCTTTGTGTATAATGCGACAACCATGAAGATATTCTAAGCCGCTGATTAGTTGGCAGAAGTAGCGATGTGCCTGGAATAGAGGTAGTTTCTTTTCGGGTGCGCTTTCAACCAGTTCCTAGAAAAAAGTAATTATTAAGTATTAATTTTAAACTCAAGAGCATGATGTTGTATGATATACAGTGCCGGACAAAAGTATTGGCACAGAGAATTTTTCGCAATATCTGAAGTTTTTATTCTAATTTATTTTCGATAATTTTTTATAAATATATTGTTCGTCCTACACCAAAAAACATAAAAACTAAATCTCTAAATTTTGTGCAAAACTCAGGAAAATTCAATAAATTTGCATACTTATTTGCAACTTTCTATTCAGATTTTTTAGAAAAATTCTAAGTATGCAGTTTTATAGCTCAACTAATTTTAGTATAACAAAGTGCAAGCTTGAATGTGCTAAAAATCGCATTGATTTTTGGCAATTTTTTTTCAGTTAGGTTCTTCCGTACAAAGTATGTTCGACAATTATTTTTTGTATGGAGAAAATGTGCAACACCTTCTACTAAAAAATGTCCAAAAATCAACGCAATTTTTTAGATACTTCAGACCTGCACTTTGTTATACTAAAATTAGTTGGGCTATAAAACTACATACTTAGAATTTCTCTAAAAAATCTGAATAAGAAGTTACAAATTAGTATGCAAATTTATTGAATTTTCCTGAGTTTTGCACAAAGTTTAGAGATTTTGTTTTTATGTTTTTTGGTGAAGTACGAACTATATTTTTATTAAAAAATATTGAAAATAAATTAGAATAAAAAACTTTGCATATATTGCGAAAAATTCTCTGTGCCAATACTTTTGTCCGGCACTGTATTTAAATTCTGCTATACTGTATATACATGTCGCTCATTTACTTCAATAGTGTCATAATAAAAAAATAAAATAAATTTTGTGTTGGGTATGTAGAAATTATCTCTACCTGTTACTCTATGTTGCTTAAAAATTTCATGTCGATTACCAACATGTATTTCACTAAATTCAAGACTTTAAAGCCGTTTTCTTGAGTTGTAACACTATTGAAGTCAATGAGCGATATGATTTAAGTACCTGCAGTCCCCCCACACAGTACTCCATAATCATGTACATCTTTTGCTTTTCTTCATTGTACAAAACGTCCAAGAGCGCTACCACATTTTTGTGCTGTAGATTTCGCAGCAATTGTATTTCTCGCTGCACATTTTGCTCCCCATTAGGAATGCGTCTCAATTTTCGCTTCGTTAATATCTTCACTGCCCGCCGGCAAAGATTTTCGGAGTCCAGTACTTCTTTCACTTTTCCATACGAACCCTCACCCAGCACATCACCCATTACATACTTTCCAACCATTTTAATTTCTTTCTTTTTCTTTTGATAGATTATCTCTGCACTGTCAACTCGATTGAAGAACATATTTCCTATATCCAATGTTGTCAAATCGAGCGCATCAATTTGTTCACTGTCTAGCCACGTTACCTGTGGATTTGGTTGTTCACTCAGTAATTCTTTAGCTTCACTAGCAGCCACAAAATTGGCTACTCCAACATCGCTACATTCTATGTCGGCATCTTCGTATGTCTCTTCCGGATTGGACAGTGCATCGTAGTGAAAGTTCTTATTAGCCAAAAGAACTGACACTTCGCCATCCGTGGTCTCTACATCCATTTTTGTTATGTTAGCCTCGTTAATTACTTGCAATTTCTGGTGGTTTGCCAACTGCTTGGTGCCTAAAGGTGGCATTAAAATGCTATTATTGATAGTCACTGAGCTCGTGGTAGAGGCCAACAGGGACTCCCCTACGTTACTTTTCTTGATATTATTGTTGTTAATGATGCTACATTCAATTGTGGATTGCTGTTTTATTTGTATTTCCATGGCAAGTGTGCATCCAATGATTAGTTGACACCCTCGCGCATTAACCATAGGGTATACATATGTAGGTTTCGTTTTTTTTTTGATTTCAGGACTAGAATTGGATACACAGTCGTTTGAAGGTTAGATGCTTTTTTTAATGCGATTTCTTTTGGTTTCCTTTAAAACCATGCGCTCCACTTACGTATGCAGAGCGCCCCAACCAGATTACATTTTAACTAAATTGTTGTATTTGTGTATCCTTTGTGTTGCTCCAGGAACTACTCTACTTCGTACATGCGCCACAATCAGGTGATTTAGAAGTGAAGAGAGATGGAGTTTCAACTTGCACTACCCGTTGGTATTTGACTTTAGGTAATTTTCTCGAGCGTTTAGCAATCAAGCATAAATCTTATCATAAGCAGAGGGGTGCCGTGCATCACTTCAGACAGTTCCATCACCTTGAAAGTATACTTAGTGTTCCTATTATGCGTTTTGTATTTCTATGTAAGTATTTATCTAAATTCTTGGTTTGCAGCAGCTATTTGTCATTTAAATAATTGCACAATTTATTACAAAATTTTTATTTGATTAATTTTTTAGCCACTAAAATTTTCTGCTATGCCTGCTGATCGTAATTTCATTTTTTCATCAACATACTAATCGCGTTGCCAACTATGAGGAAGAATTGCGGACCGAAACAAAATAGGCGCAAGCGGCATTTCACATGTGGAGAGTAAAAAAATTGGAGAGTAAAACACCAAATTATTAAATTATTTAACATATGTATGTAAATACATATGTATGCATGACAATATCTAATAATTAATTATGAATGTAAAAAATTAAATCAACTTTACTGTAAAGATATTTGCATCCCATACTGTAAAATATAATTTCAAGCTCCTTGTTGTTTATACACTCACACCCGATTTACATGATTCAAGTACATGAACGAAAGACACAAGATCACGCCTTACCGAAAGAAAGAAAAAGTTATTTTCTAGCTGTTGAAATCTCGACGCCATCTATGTTGGAAGAAGTAAACAACGAAGAGAACAAAAAAAACAGCGTAATTGTGTGAACGCATGAATAATCATTTTTATTATGCAAATTCTTCTATAAATCATGTCGATGTGTTAAATTATTCTTTACCTTATGTGTGCACTCGTTGTCACAAGCGAAAATTAAGAAAATTGCAGTAAAAAGCCACCACCAAATTGTAAACAACGAACAAATGTAAGCAAACGGCTAATGTCAAAGTCGCCCAATTTTTTTACTAAATGCGATTATAACGGGCTACTAAGAAGAAGGCGTGATCTTGTATTTTTGGTTCATGATTCAAGTACTTTAAAGCAATTCTTGCTCATTCTCTTTTGTGTTTTCTATTTGCTTTAATACGTTGAATTCAAGTTTTTGGTTCTTTAAATGGGAAGTAACGAAAATGCCAAAAGCAAGCAAGAAAGTTGAAACGACTTGACGGTATAGACGCATGTGTACTCGTCCCTTTTCTTCTCACCCGCTCTCTTTCACATGCGAGCAGAATTGAATTCAATACTTGAACTGTGTAAAAGCAGTCTCAGTTTTTACCGGAAATGAAAAAGGTAAAGATATGCACATACAGTCGTGGACTAATGTTTCCGGAGTTACAAAAAGCATGGTCACATTAGGAGTCTTCATCTAAAGTAATAAAGTGATAAATTGCTTAAATTTATCAGTTTATCCGCATTCTTTCATAAACGCACTTTGGTAAATAATTTCATAAAATTGTTTATTAGCCGTCATCGATTCGCCAACAGTTAGCGAGTGGCGAAACGAACGAACTCAATGGTCGCGTTCATAAGACGTAGCTGTTTAGCTCATCTGCTACGAAACTGCTGGCAACTGTTGAACCCTACAATTACGTCTTAGAAACGGATTGATGAACAGCTGATAAATGTAAACAAATGAAATTGCAACAAATAGAAATAGTTGCGCCGTGTTGAAAAATCGTTCAATGTTACAATGAATTAAACAGTGTAAAATTATATAGCAAACATCTTAAAAACATATATATAGAAACGTAGTATTATTATAAAATATTGTAGTTACTTTATCACGTCAGTAATATAAAATATAAAAAATTTGTTTGCAACTGCCACCTAACAAAGCGGCGTTAAATTTAATATAAGGGGCGTAAGTCTTTTAGATCAGCTGCTTAAGCTAAGCCCAACACGTTGAGTTCAGGTAGCGTACAAATTTTCCGCTGGAAAAAATAGCGGAAAGTTGCCAACTGTTGGGCTGAGGGTAACTACTCAACTGTGCGTTTCTAAGACAAACAGCCAACGGTTACCCAACAGCTACGACTTATGAACGCGTCCAATGAGGTACAACCAAACTTGCTATCGTCTATCCGTGCTAGCTAACTTTGTTGTTGCTTTCACATGCAAAATTTTTCGTTAAGCGACCGGAACTCAAACATAGCAAGCAGCGAAGTGACGAATCGATGACGGCTATTATTTAACTTATATCGCTAGTTACGTTTCATTCTTACCTCGTCCATTGTGTTCATTTGCTTTTGTGTTTTCGTAGCAAAAGCGACCACCTGGCAACCTGTTCGAATCGGAACCGGATTTGTTTCCGAGAGTTGGTGTTCTGCATTCTGACAATCGGAAGTTATTTTCGATTCCGCCTTGTTCTACATTTCGATAAGCTTCGAATTGGAACTCTATTGGAAGTTTGATGTTCTTCATTCCAAGTAGCGGAAATTTTTTGATCGGAAATATTCCGATCAGGTAAAAGCCAGTGGAATAGAAAAAGAACAAAAAAGAAAAACAAAAATATAAATGTAAATGATCAGAGGAAAATTTTAAACGTTAGTGAACGAAGAAAAATGTAAGTAAGCGAATTAAAATCGGTAATAATTACAATTAAAAAAATTAACCAGATTAAACTGCGACCGCTTGAGTTGGAGCTACAGCGTTTCGAATTTGAAAATAGTAAAAAGTTGCGCACAAAATTCAGATGCTTCACGATTTGCAGGTTTTACAGGATTTGCAGGAGCAGCTGTTTTCTCCATTATGGTAGGTGGTCACCTGGAACGGCTTCCTGTAAAAACCTGCAAATCGTGAAGCATCTGGAACGCAACTAAAGTAAACAAACTCGAGATTAATAGTAAATTAACGTAAATAAACTCAACAAACCTTGTGCTTAATAAATTTACTCACTTTTTCGTTGTATACTAGCATTAATAATAAAATTTGCAAATATAGGTGTGTACTCGTATTGAGAGGACAAACAGAAGTACGAGAACGCAAAATTTGCAAAAACTTGCAACCTTCGAAACAGCTGATCACTTGCACAGTTGCGGGAGTAGCGTACCTAACGGAGGTCCTCAACCTGTCTATGGCCACTCTCGTCATTCCAGACATCTGGAAAATGGGGAGAGCGGTCCCACTGCTCAAACCGGGGAAACCAGCCAACAAAAGAGTCTCCTTTCCCGGCGAATACACTCGAGGCCCTGCTGCTCCCGTACTTTACGAACCACCTGACCTCAGCGAAGCATCATCATGGGTTCCGTAAAGTGCATAGCACAACAACAGCACTTAACGACATAAACACTCAGATATCTCGTGGCCTAAACCGCCCCTGTGAGAGAACTATTCTAGTAGCGTTGGACCTGTCCAAGGCGTTCGACACTGGCAGTCATTCAACGCTACTAGAAGATATAGAGGCGTCCTCACTCGGCGAATTACCTGAGTGGTCGACACTCGTCAGTAATTTTTAGAGACAAAACTAGCAAGCCAGGTAAAATTAAACAGGGGGTACCACAGGGTGGTGCCCTGTCCCCGCTACTGTTTAATTATTACTTCTCAAAGCTTCCTCAGCCACCAGCGGCCATCCCAGCGGACAACTGCTCGCGGACGAGCCCTCGCCACGGCTCGTCAGGAGGCATCTTTACGAACTGCCCTGAGAACCCCACTCAGCTAACGCCCCTGTCCCTATGGACAGCCCCTGTGGAAGTAGCACACTTCATGGGCCTCCCCCTAGCTGAAATTGACGACAACGTTGATGGATGAACCGCCCCGAACGGGGCTTAGTGGCCGCTACAATAACAACAACAACAGTTGCCACTGGTGATTAATTTGGCTATTTATTTTCTGTTTGGTGCATTTTCCCCCGATTTGGCATTTTATACAATTGAAAAGTTTTGGATAAGAAAAACCTTTTTAAAATACTGTTACGATTATCCTTGAACCCTCGTCCGGATTTCCCAAATCTTCCGGTTCGTATCGCTGGATTGTTAAATAAAGGCTAACGATGACCAAATGGTAGTACAATTAACTCTATTGTACAACAAACAATTTTACAATACTTGCTAATACAGTAAAAACACTACAACACTTGTTAAAGCAATTACAACGCTTTACTACTTGTTAACACAATTAAACTTATAGCTTGCTTATTCGCAACTCGCTTCTCTGCTCAGTTTACTTGTAGCTTGCTGACTTGTAACTAACTCACCTCGCGGTGGCGGCGCCCTTATATACCTGCGCTGGCACTTATGGCAACTCTAGAACATTCTGAAGTTTATCGCTCATTCTCTTTCTCTCGCTGTTCGCAGTGTTCATCCAACTTGACGTTTCTCTTTGTGGAACATTCTACGTCATTCTTCGAACATTCTGCCTATTTCTCGTCGTTCGCTTTGTGTTGCCGCTGTATTCGCCACACTGCCCTCCACCTAAGTCTGATCGTCCCGATCAGACACACTTGCGGTTCCAAACGCTGCAAGCCTTTCCAAGTGGACCACCTTCATCTTGTTTCTTGGTCTCCCAACGGTCTGGATCCGATACACTACGTCATTTAGCCGTTGTACGACCTTATACGGACCTTCCCAGTTGCATTGTAGTTTTGGGGACAAACCTTTCTTTCGTTGTGGATTGTACAGCAACACCAAAACTCCTTCCTGGAAACCCTCGGAATTCATCGCCTTATCATACCTGGCTTTCATCTTGTCACTCATAATTTGTGTGCGCTGTCTCACAAGAGCATGTATCTCTCTCAGCTCCTCTTCCAGGATGTTTGACGTCTCTTTTCCAATCCTTCTAGCATCACCAGTCACCCCAAACTTCAGATCACTAGGCAAACGGAGCTCACTGCCGAATATTACCCTTGCCGGAGTTTTACCCGTTGTTTCATGCACTGCTGACCGGTATCCCATCAGGAACAAGGGTATCCGGACATCCCAATCTTTTTGATTCTTGTCCACGACCTTCCGCAAATGCTCTTCCAGGGTTCGGTTGAACCGTTCCACCATGCCGTCTGATTGGGGATGAAGAGCCGTCGTTCGAGTTTTCCGGATACCCAGTATCTGGCACATCTCTTGGAACACTGCCGACTCAAAATTTCTTCCCTGGTCAGAGTGCAGCTCTATAGGTACACCGTATCTCGCTACCCAATTGTAGGTGAATACCTCCGCTACTGTTTTAGCTTCCTGGTTTGGAATCGGGTATACCTCCGGCCATTTGCTAAAGTAGTCCATAACCACAAGGACGTATTTGTTTCCCTGTGCGCTCATAGGAAATGGACCGGCTACATCCATGGCAATCCGCTCGAAAGGTGCACCTGAGTTATATTGCTTCATCTGGCCATGACTTCTGGATTTCGGCCCCTTAGCTGCAATACACTCCGCGCAGTTAGCAATCCACTCTGC